TGCATTTATTTGACCAAAAATACAGAAAAATATTACCATTTAAAATAATGGTTTTCTATTTTAATATACTTTAAAATATAATTTATTTCTGTGATGCAAAGTTGCATTTTCATCAGCCATTACTACAGTCTTCAGTGTCACATGATCCATATCATATCATATTGATATTACAGATATTACAGGTTAAATAAAATTGACACTATGGTTGGAAAATGTTTTACCTGATTCACAAACGAATCCCTCGATGGAGTCGGTTCTCTGATGAATCGGTCAAATGAAAGTTGTTAAAAGATGCCTAGCGCATTTATTTAAAATAGAAATATTTTCTAACAATATACACTATCGTTCAAAAGTTTGGGGTCAGTAAATTTTTATTTTCTTTTTTTTTTTTTTAAAGAAATTAAAACTTTTACTCTGCAAGGATGTGTTAAATTGATAAGAAGTGATAGCAAAGATTTCTATTGTTAGAAAAGATTTATATTTTGAGTAAATGCTGTTCTTTTTAACTTTTCATTCATCAAAGAATCCTGAAAAAAGTATTGCAGTTTTAGAAAAAATATTTGGCAGCACAACTGTTGCCAACATTGATAATTCTAATAATAAATCAGCATATTAGAATGATTTCTTAAGGATCATGTGACACTTTATACTGGAGTAATGGCTGATGGAAATTCAGCTTTGCATCACAGAAATAAATTAGATTTTAAAGGATATTAAAATAGAAACCCTTATTTTATATTGTAATAACATTTTGCAAGATTACTGTTTTTTTTTTCTCCTGTATTTATCATCAAATAAATGCAGCCTTGATGAGCATAAGAGACTTCTTTAAAAAAACACGAGTCTTACTGATCCCAAACTTTTGACTGGTAGTGTGTGTGTCTGTGTTATATATATATATATACTTTTTAATATTAATTTTTTTAAAATATTTTCTAAACATTTTTCTTTTTTAAAGCATTTTTAGGTACCCCATACAGAGCCCCTAATATGATATTTGCATGAAAAAAAAAAAAATATATATATATATATATAAGTTTCTTGCATGCATGTCAAGGGCTCATATGTTGTATACTTTTGCTATTGGGGATTTTTTTTTTTTTTTTTCATTAGCTTTTTTATTTCCTAAGGTTATAAGCAGACCTGAAGTGCAAAGTAACAAAAATAATCTCCCTGAGGCTTTTGTAACGTTCTTGTTGTTGTTGTTGTTGTTATACACAGCAGAAAACATGAGAAATTACATAAGAAATAAACTTACAGAAATCACTCAAATACACCTTGTCCTGAAAGACAGGTTTATATGACATCATTTATATACATCAAACATAAATAAAATCATTTTCAAATTCGTGCTGATGTGGAGCAAATACTTTATATCCACTTTGTTCCACCTCATCTCTTTCCTAATCCGAGTGTTACTGAATGTATGTGTGACGTCTAACACTCCAGAGTGATGAGGAATGACTGAGCTTGGTTCTTGAGTTTAATTGACAGGATAACATTTACCTGCACAGGAAGATGACTTGATTTCCATTTGAACTGTGGTGATCCCCATAGACTCACTCACTGCTGATCTACACATATACTTTACTAAAACCACACACACACACACACACACACAGAGATAAATCTGGCATTTTATGACATAAATGAATAAACAAGTCTCTAATGTAATTGACCTTTTTTAAATTAGTGACTAAATCTAAATAGAGTGACAATCTTTGTTTCCACAGACACAAGGCTTCCGTTACCCCCGACCCTCTTCCGTCCCTCCATCCCCGTCAGCTTCCCTCCACTCCACCCCTCACCACAGCGATGAGGAAGATGACGACACCTATGACGAAGAGGAGGAGGCGGAGAGGGACAGGCAGAACATCAAAGCACCGTTCACTCTGGGTGCAGAGCCTGAGGATAAGAGCAAACCACCGCTGGAAAATGGGAAGTAAGATCTGCACCCTCCTGCTCCGGTAGTTCAGACTGTTTCAGACATATTTACACCCCCTGCCCTCTGAGAACGTGCTACATTCGTCTGACTGCAGCTTTTGAATGGATTTTTGATGAAGTATCTTCAAAGTATGAATGAGAAGATATCTATCACATACAGTGGCATTCGAAAGTCTGAGATGATACTGAAAATCTGGGATTCAATAACCCATTTAAACTTGTGACTAATGAAAACTGAACCATGTGGACTCGTTTGTACAGATGATTCTTGCTTTTGTTGAAGCTCAAGACACTCTTGAGCATCAAAAATCACATGATCATCAGGTTTGACATGAACTTGTGGAGTTCTTGCAACTCAAATGGTTTCACTAGACTTTTGGATATAAATGTGGTACTAAACACACATCTTTTTGGTGTTTTAAACCAAATTTGGCATATTGGTGCCATATGAGGCAATAATAATTTGTGCAAATGTTGGGAAAAAAACACCTTTATATATATCAATGATTAGCAAAGTTCAACCACATAATGTGCAAATATGCATCCTATCCATGTTTTATTAAAAAGTCTCACTCACACTAGCGGTTATCAGTGCATAAATTCATTTTAATTAATTGAGAAAATGTTCACACATTCGCAAATATGCATTTTACAGACCATTCAATTCACATGTTGATTTAACATGAGAAAATGAAAAGGACAAAAAATCTGTACAGTTAATTATATATCACACAGAATTTCAATCATCATAAGTAGTCTCTTTTCCAAGATGATATTTCTTGAAAAAACAACCCATTATTTCTCCTGAAAGAAATAAAAATATTTTACTACCAGTCTTCATGTGGATTCATACAAACAATCTGGAGACACACATAACTCTACATTACTCTAATCTGACTGTAATAGTGTTGACCAGTAAGTGATGAACCTTCAGAGATGTCCAACACGGGCATCACTGTAGCGGAGGATGAAAACATTCAATTCCACATGGCTCACAAAACTGGAAGATGAAAGAGTGAGTTGTTGGTGTTCTTTTAGCTGGTTTCAGTAAGGCTCACCCTCGCCTCTGACTTGCTGGAGAACATTTAAGAGAAATGCAGCCGCTTTAGAGATGCTCAGGTTTTCTGTGTTTTGGCTGCGTGACTCTGTGGAGAATGACAGTTTACGTATTATACTCCTATTTATTTACAAGCTTACAATTAGTATTACACTTTCTTAGTATTAAACCAATTGTCTCCCACTTGCATGCAATATGAACACTAAAGTCTCAGCAAGCATAAATAATGGTTTAGAGAACAAAAGTCACAAACTGTGAGAGTTTTTAATTCATACCCAAGCGTATTGTGTCATACAAGTCCCCTTCATTTCTGTCTTCAGACACAAAGCGCCGTCCCTCTATTATAAACAATAAAAAACTAATTCATTTAAAATTGTACGGAACAAAAGTAATCGTATAATCAGTTTTAGACACAAATACGGTTGACAAACAGCAGGAACATACGTGTGCCCTTCAGATATAACATGGCTTGAGGCGTCCAATTCCGACGCTGAAAACTGCCCTTTAATTATAATTCAAAAAATTCAAATGCAAATGATTACAATTTTAAAATTAAAATAGTAAATGTTTAAATAAATAATATTACCATACCTTGGGCGCACACCAGGAATGGGATACAAATGTTGCCAGAAGTAACAGTGCAAGTGCGTAAGCCGCAAGAGTCCTTAAATCCTGAAAAGGTGAAGTCATGTTAAAATATATAATTTCCCATGTGCAAGAGCATTACAAATCAGCCTTTTATATAACACTGTATCTTAGTCTCTTTTCTCTTCATTGTTAATTGCATTATGCACAAAAGTATCAATACAAGATTCCTGATATTAAAATGACAATTCTTGGTAGTCACATCAGCTTCTCTCTTTTTTTTTTTTTTATTCGGTCTAGTTAGAATTTAATTGCTTAAAGTCTACGAGACAAATGCAAGCATGAATGTGGACTTACTTTCATAGTGTCAGACGTTCTCTTCAACTGTTGAGTCTCAGAGGCAAGATCAAGAGTGAAGACTGTGAAGTCTGTCCTCTATTTATAATCACCAGGGTGGGGGAATGTTGAATGAATTAGTCTTCAGCTATAGGTCAAGTCCCATTGATTCACAATGGGGCCGGACCACGAACCTTTCAGAGCGATTAGTTGACACTTCCTTTAAAAATAATAAGCCTACTTTACTGCTGTGACGTTTGAAGACACACTCGCAGGGCTGGCTACATTTACTGTTAGCTATTATGCATTTTAGTGCTACTGAAGGGAAATTTCCATTCGTGCGCACTTTTAATAGCTAACTAATGAAAAGAAGTGGGCGGAAAGTATTGATATGTTTACACCTTCAGCAATGAAGCGTCTCAGATACACCAGCTAATCGTTTTTTATGAATGAACAGTGAGCGGCTGATGGGGTTTCCCTACTTGACACTACATGTATAAATATCTGCTGGCTCTGCTCAAAGGGAATAAGGGATAAGAAACAAACTTAAATGTGTATGGTCTCTGAAATACATTACAAAACAAATCTTGGCAGAGTAAAAATTAGGCAGAAGAAGAAAACAAGTCTGCCTCATTCCTCAATATACTTGAGACACAATTTGTTGTTTTTCAGGTTAATGAATAAAATTATTTGATTTGTATCATCAAGAACAATAATAAAAATATAATTATTTTATCATAATATATAAAATAATTGTTTTATAGAAATTGTGTGCATATAGAGAAAATGTATTATTAATTTAATAAGTTGTTGCTCTTGGTGATAATTCAAACTTAATATAAAACATAATTATTTTATAATATCAATATTATAATATTTTGTATTATTTTTATTAATAATAACTTTTTAAAGACCCTTTTTGAGGAACCCAAAAAAATGTCAATATTGCACTCCTTTTTTTTTTTTCATTTTTACTGTATAGCCCCAATACCTGATGAAGCAATAATAATAATAATAATAATGATGACACTGACCTCATATCAGGTTTTAAATATATTTTAAAAAGTTTGTGGCAGCAGAAACATTTTGAAACCCCAGTGCTGCAATCTGACAGTGATAAAAAATTTGAGATACATTTTTTTAAGACGACAAAAGAACAAAATGAATAATAATACTAATAAATAATTATTATTATAATAAGAACAACATCTCTGTATGCCAGTCTGATTAGTAACAGTTTAATTTTACCAGAAAGTGTAAATATCACACTTGCATTTTCAGCAGGTGTCATAGAAAAAAAAACATAAATCAAGAAAATAAGAGTCATCCAGCTCTCCTCCCTCTTTAAAATACAAATATAGACACAACCATGTAACAAGGCCATTGTTGTAACAGAATAAACTTTCAGAAGTCACTTCTGCACATTCAAACACGGATCTCCAGTAACTTCTTCATGAAGTTTGCATTTATAAAGTAGGGCACAGTTCTTCAGGGATGCTGGATGTTGTGACGCAGCTCTATAGATTGCTTTGCTTTGGCCGGCTGGCGAAGGAGTGGCTTGTTTTCCACGCTGCACAGTTTGCTTCTCACTGACGTAAATATCACTCAGACGTCCTTGCAATGGAAACACGTCTGAATATAAAGCTTCGGTAATACGACCTCTATACTTCTCATGGTTTTATAAGGTAATGCTTTAGAAAACCCATCATAAATAAGCGGTAAAAAAAAGTATTTTAAACCATGTTGTTGCTTTCACTCATTTTGTCCACATACTGAAGAAACAAAAAGAGTAAAAAAAAAAAGAATTAGGACACTTTCAAGGAAAAAATTATTTATAGATATGAAATTACAATTACATCTAATCTGATTCATGATCCATTTATCACTTAAAATATTCAGTGCACACAGGACGGCATGATTCATGCTCACATGCGCACAGAATTAGCCGTGACTGACCAAGATAGCTGACTGTCCACTCAGCCTTAGGAAGGCTTTAAAAGAACAACAAACACACGCTGAAAGACACTTTTCTGGCATTTAGTGGAAAAGCATGCTAGTCTCATAGCTGCTAAAGCAAGCAAAAGCTTTTGAAGTGAATTTATTTTAAGTCTGTGTCCTAAATATAATGCGTTTATCTTGATAAGTAATGTGTCTGTTCACACTGATAGTGTAAATGTTAACACAGTCACATTCAATCAGAATGTACTTGTTTAATGGTGTGACAGCTCATGTTTGTTATCTATCATTTATTGCATAATGCCTGGTTAGGACACGTGTTAAATTCACTGCGATCTTAGAGGATCCTTATATGGAAATAAAAAGACCAGCTCACAATCTCTTCTTCATCAACTTACCCCACTAATGAAGGGAAGATTCAGCAAGTATCCCAGCACAGGAATCCTCCTGATGAAGCCTACGACCACTGGAAAGAATCCCCTACACATGAAGAGAAAGCAGTAGTATGTGGATATAGACTGATATATTATTAGGAATTACTGGAATCATTTTTGATCTGAAATGTTAGTTTGCTTTGCTTTCAGTTCCAAAACCTACCAACAGACTTAATGAATAATGTACATTTTAAATAATATAATCGTGTTACTTAACATTGTGCAAATAAGTGTTCATTTAATTTTCACTTTTTTTCTCATTTACTATTAAATGATCATTTATCTGTACTGTCTCTGCATATATAATATCTATATCTGCCTTCAGCCAATCTGTATTGGCATCTATTAAAAACCAGACGTCTAAAATATCTACTTAGAGCTACTAATTATGTAGCTGCATAATTTGCCTGAATAAGAGATTCCTAATCCTGTAAAAAAAAAACAAATACCTGAATAACAGAAAGAAGCCATAAAACTCTAGAATCACTCCGACGATGGGCCATCCAATCAGCACTATGAAGACGCCTCCTAGAAAGAAGCTGGTGGCTTTCATTTTGTGCTTCTGAAAGAAGAACCTGAATGTCCTCTCCAGCCCGATTACAAATGCCAGCCCGACAACAAAAAGGATCTGAGACAAATGAAGACCAAGAGAGAGGTGAGCGAGAAAAACTGGCTTTGGGTGGAGGGGGTCTGTGCTTTTGTCTCTCAGTGCACTTGTACTATAAAGTTATATAAACTACTGTTTAAAAATTGTGTTTGAACTATTATGAGAAGACACTTGATACCAGGAAACTGTAGAGCAGCATAATGAAGAATATGATGAAAATGGAAGTAGAAATCTGTAGTAAATCAATGTGTAGATACTATTCACAACAAACTTATACAAAATAAACTGATCAGAAACTAGTACATATGTGACCCTGGAGCACAAAACCAGTCTTAAGTCGCTGGGGTATATTTGTAGCAATAGCCAAAAATACATTGTATGGGTCAAAATTATCGATTTTTCTTTTATGCCAAAAATCATTAGGATAGGAAATTTTATGCCAAAGATCATGTTCCGTGAAGATATTTTGTAAATTTCCTACCGTAAATATATTCAAACTTCATTTTTGATTAGTAATATGCATTGCTAAGAACTTCATTTGGACAACTCTAAAGGCGATTTTCTCAATACTTAGATTTTTTTTGCACCTTCAGATTCCAGATTTTCAAATAGTTGTATCTCAGCCAAATATTGTCATGTACAACCATAACAAACCATAAATCAATGGAAAGCTTATTTATTATTTATATATTAAAAAAATTACCCTTAAGACTGGTTTTGTGGTCCAGGGTCACACACATACACTGTACATACACATATACACCTATATATATATATATATAATACGTATTACTTAAAACTTTAATACATATACATTATATTTAAATACTTAAAATATACATTTATAGATAGGATTTTATTTGTTTCTGAACAGTGTAATTAAAATATTTAAATGTATACATCTGAATGTGTATACATCTGTGTTTGTATATGTATGTGTATGTGTGTGTGTGTGTATGTATATATATATATATATATATATAATACGTATTACTTAAAACTTTAATACATATACATTATATTTAAATACTTAAAATATACATTTATAGATAGGATTTTATTTGTTTCTGAACAGTGTAATTAAAATATTTAAATGTATACATCTGAATGTGTATACATCTGTGTTTGTATATGTATGTGTATGTGTGTGTGTGTGTATGTATATATATATATATATATATATAATTTAAATATAAATGACAACATGAGAACGCTCACATTTCCTATGGCAAGGAGAGCTTTATCAAAAAACAGGATCATCCCAAAAAACAGGAAAAATACACCAAATCCTGTTAGCCCCATTCCAATTTCTGTTGATGGAAAGCCATACAATTAAACCAATATTATATGTAAATACGTTTTTAATCAATGACATATATATATATAATTTGCATTTAAGAGCACATGTTAGATATTTGCGAATATGTGATTTTTTTTTTATTATTTCTTATTGATGATTATGATGATTCTGCCTTTATGTAGTACGTCTGGTGCAGTTCACGGTCAAAATTAAAGCGGGTGTTCAGCCAGAACATCTATTTTGTTTGTTTCCCGACTTTTACGCTATACTTGTAACTGGTGGAGTGACATCTGTACGCAGCTGCATCAATCTCTACGCACAGAAACACTCCGAGAGGCGAAATAACAAAGACCACAGGCCTTGTGATCGCACTGACGCTAGACACTGTCTGAGGAAGAGCTGTCAGTGAGACGGGTTATGTTCATCTTACTCTGGGAGTCGGTGAGGGAGATCATCTTGGCTTGTTTCGCTCAGCTGTCACAGGAGCGGCGGCCACGCGTACCGGAAACACTCAAGTTCAGCTTCCGGAGAAACTTTACAAACCTAATGCATCTCGTATCAATTTAATATTCTGAATAAGTGCTATTTTGAATAAGTACTACGCTTAACAAATCTAAAGCTTGTTTTTGCGTGCCCAGTGATGACGTGATAAAAGTCTCTGTGGTAAATACTAGACTATATATATATATATATTTTTATTTTTTATTAACTGTTAATATTTTACATCCTTTTAAGCATAATAACCTTAAGAAATGTACACAGAGATGCAACTGTAGTAATTGGACCACAGATAAAGTTATTTCCGTGTGCACCGCGCCATCTGCCGGTCAAAACTTACAACAGCACACTTTTACCAGGTCTACCTGTGGAAGTTTCTACATTATAGCCCCTTTCACACAGTAATACCAGTAAATTGCCGTAAAATTACCGGTAAATACAAAAATGCGCTGTGCACATAGGCAATGACCTTCCGTCTTTTTACCGGCACCATTCACACATCGATTTCAAAACTGCATCAACTTTTTTTGAGCAATGTTGCTTAGGCACTTCCCCATTGAGGATGGGTAACACATTTCTATCTGGATTACTCAAAACGTTGCCCCGTGTGTCATTAGCCTAAGTGTAAGCTTTTATCTAATGTATACTTTCATATAAGATGAATGATCTTAAGTGGATGGTTTTGGCATTTATTTAGCATTATTTGTTCAAGCATCATACTAAGCCCTTGTTTCCCTGGTGTATTTTAGACAAACAATTATTCAATTTATAAGTTTTATTTTGAATGTTGCACCTCTTAAGTCTTACCTCAATTTAATTAGCAAAAATATCACTTGTAGCATTTTTTCATTTGATACATTTAAGTGTGACACTTATTTAGTATTACTAGAAAATGACAATATCGGCAACCAACAACTTAAAACAAGGCATTTTATTAGTATATCTCACACCCTTATTGCATAATATTAAGTAGCCTTTATGAAACATTGCAGTAATTTGTTTTGAATAACTGATTATTATGTGCAGTTCCTATTTGCACTGCAAACATGTTTCTCCATAAATACAGGAAACCCAAGAACTGCATCACACTGCAAGCGGTTTCTGACCAAAAAAATTTATACAAATTATTCCATTGGGTTTAACAAAAAAAATTATATGAATGAATAACTATCCAAAAGGTAAAAGCAAATACATCAGGTGTAAACCTGATTTAGGAAGGAAGGAAGGAAAGAAAGAGAGAGAAAAAGAGAGAGAGAGAGAGAGAGAGAGAGAGAGAGAGAATACAATGCAAAACATGTCAACTTTTAAAAACAAATGGGATTTTGAGGCACTATTTGACACTAGGAATATACTGTGCACCTTGAGGGCTAATTTGTTTATATTTTAACACATACTATATTATATATTCTTGTTCTTAAATGTCCCTACATCTTTAGTTAATTACAATTAGCTATATTTAGCCACACAGGGCTGGTCTCCCGTCCCTCATTCTGGGGGTTTCTTCTTGGCCTCCACGTCCTTCTTAAAGGCCTCGATTTTCTTTGAAATATTGGGTACCTGGAAAACGTTATAAATGAATTATATCAGACATTGATCACTAAACAGTGGAGCTGTTCTCTATTTCAAGACTAATGCTATTTAATCCAGTTTTATTAAAATACGTTTCTTATAAGATTTTAGGCGCAGATTAAATCAGACAGTTAATATGTGAATAAATATAGTTTTTATAACCTCGTAATTCTGTGCCAGAAACATGCCAACCACGTTCCCCAGAGTGAAGCCAAGCTGGAAAAACAAGATGCTCTATCAACAACCTTATGTGACATATAGATACATTCTTCTATATTATAAATTATCCGGATGTAAATGTTTGTTTAGTTCAAATTAAACCCTTTGATCAGCTAGTCACTTAGTTATTAGCTACTACAGTGTGAATTAGCAAGCGAATAAATACACATTTACAATCTCACGAACAGATGTAAATACTTACTATGAATTGCATCATGATTAAAACTTCGAAATGATGAAAAGACACTAAATAACAGTGACACTGGTCTCGAAAGCTAGGATAGTTGTGTGAGCTTGACACGGCTAGCCTTCAACTAGCTACATATAGCATCAGCGTGACATCAACACACCGGAAGTAGTATTCTTGCAAAATAAGAGTTTTAATTATGAAGCAAAGGGCACATTCAATGTTTAATTACGCTACGACAAGTTAAATATAGACCAGGTTGAGATTTAACTATTAATATAATATAATTCCCCACATACAGTAATTAAATTAATTAAAAATGAATTGATTAATTTAGTTTAAAAAATTTAACAACATTTTTAAATGCTGTCAGATGAATGCAGAAACAGGTTTAAAGGAATATAAACTAGTTTTCAAACTTTCTTTTATTTTTTTTATTTTTTTTAGTGCTTGTCACACTACACACATTTTGTTGTGCTTACAAGGGTTCTTGCATCTTGAAAAGAAACAGCACATAGGCTATTGCAAACTTGTTAAATGGAAGGTCTGTCATGTTGAAAAGATGGCTTTGCACACAAAGAGGTCATTCATTCGCTTGTCACAACGGCAAAAAGTAATCACCAGCAAAACAAGGGTCTTGATCTATGCGGTTTGGTAATAGTTATAATAAAACTATTAATATAACTAAACGTAAGAGCACAAACATTATTTAAAACCTTAAAAGTAATAAAACAAACATGCCTGTAACAAAGCACAATGATATACAAATGGCATACAACACTAGCCCAAATATTGATGTCTAAAGGATAAAAAACGGAAGACAAATCTGAGATCATGCAGTCATATCTGTATAAAATGACACTACCAGGACAAAACAAAAAATCTGATTAATTTAACAATATTTTTATATTTTATCTTCCCAGAGTTCTCAATTCTCCCTTTATATATAATTTCAAGTTTCTTCCATTTCAAATTATGCAGAATAAGAAACTCGGACAATATTTAAGTATAAATACAGTTAACAATTGTAATACAATACTTTCAAAATAATGAGTAGCAAACAAAGTCTAATTTCACTTTGTTGCTGATGGATTTCAGTATGCTCCAATAAACATTTTTTTTTATGATCTAGAAAATGGGCATGGGAAACAACAATTTGGGTATCTCTAAATGGATAACATATTCTCAAAAGTCTGTAAATGATCTATGTAAATATATTAGCCTATTTTGGCTATGTCTTTAACAACTGTAAATATAGAAAAGTTTCTGCCTTGCACCTAAACATGGTCAATATACTGTACGTAATGACTGCATTTCTTTGCAGTAACACTGTCAAGTGAAAACCACAGTTAGAGAGATGCTAAAAATATAACTTGGCAAGGAATATAGATTCTTTGTAACATCATAAACAGCAACAACGCCCCCAATCCATAATTTTAAGCACCATAGCACACTGTTGTTCTTCAGTCTTCGTACTGCAGTGATTCCCTTGAATCAAGCATCAAATAATTCACACAAGAGAAACACATAAGGGAAATGTATGGTGATGATAACGAATCAAGTAAATGATGCATCCTGGTTTATTTGGACTCCAGTGGACTGCTTGGTGGCCCCTGTATGATCCCATTCTGCGGAGTTGGTGCTTGCATGTCGATGAAAAGTAGATTCTTCAGGATGCTCACATAGAAAGGACCGTAAACCTTTTTGTTGAAGTTGACGAGGTTGACAAAGCTGACCCCAAGCCCCATGAGCTCTGGCTGAATCAGACCCAAGCCTGGTGGTACGGGAGGGGGCGTCCTGTGAGAGTTGGTAGAGGCGAGGACCACCCTAAAGTACTGATGTACTCTTCCCTCTGTGGCACGGAAAAGTCACATAAAAACACGATACAAGCTTTACAGGCTTTAAGGCAATATTACGAGTTCAGGTAAGCTCAACTGACAGCATTTGTGTCATAATGTTGATTATCACAAAACTTAATTTCCACTTTCATTTTTTTTTTATTTAATATGAAATAAATAAATATATAAATAGAATAAAGCAGAAATGCGTTACAGTGAGGCAATTAAAATGGAAGTGAATGGGATCAAATTATAAATGTGAAAGTATCACTGTTTTAATAGTATAGCCACACAATGTAAACAATATGCTTGTTAATATAATATTTAAAAAAGCTTGCTAACCGTTATATGCAAATTGACAACTTAGTTGCCATGAAAACAATGTAAAATGATTAGAAAAATTATTATTTGAACAGCTTTATAGCTTAAAGGTGTCATATGATGCTTTTTTAAAAGATCATTATTTGGTGTATTTGGTGTAACAGAATATGTTGACATGCTTTAATGTTCAAAAACCACATTATTTTTCAAATACTGTACATTATTGTAGGTACTCTATGCCCCGCCTCGCTCAAACGCTTAGTTTTCTACAAAGTCCCTCCTTCCGACAAGCGCAGTCTGCTCTGATTGGCCAGCTGACGCAGTGCATTGTGATTGGCCAAACACCGCAAGCACTCGTCGGAAATGTAACGCCCCTTACCATAATCGCGAGCTTCATCTTTCAAAATAAATATAAAGACAGAACCAGAAAAGGGAACAGAGTCGCGTGACAGACACAGTGATGAAGCTGCTATGTGTTTGCAGTACAAAAGCCACGGTTAAGACAGCTGACTCCACTGTGATGTGACCCTGTCTCTCTCTCTCTCTTTCTCTTTCTCGCTCTCTCTCTCGCTTTCTCTCACTCGCTCTCTCTCTCTTTCTCTCGCTCGCGCACACACACACACGATGCACAAAACTCCGCATTTGAACAGTCAATAGCAAATACTTAAACTAATAACAAAACAGTAGCTGATTCAGAAGCGCCAGATTGTCATAGCAAAGTCAGAATTACCTCCTCTCCTAGGTTCACGAAACGGTCGTCCATAAAATGCATTGCTGTTCTTAAAGATTCCTAAATGCATCTACTTCTGGAAGGCCAAATAAAGTGCTTTTGCTTTCGCCTAGAAACACACAGCGTCTCCCTGACATGGCTGCTTCAACACTAACTGCGGTTACTGAAACCACGCCTTCTTTCTTTGCGTGAACATTTGGGCCGCATTATGCAAATATTTCCACATAGTGAGGTAGATATGTGGGGGCGTGTTAGAACGAGCCGTTTTAGGGGAGCGTGGCAGAGTCTTAACTTTGATAAAGAATATATTGTAAACACTTGTCAGCTTGTAACACTCCAAAGAGAAAGGAAAACTTGAAATCGCATCATATGACCCCTTTAAATAATACACTGGTTTTAACAGAATTCATGTATTTGCTTTTATAAAATCATAAGTTTCACATTTCTGCTTTTAAATCCTCCAAAATATGGCTCCATTTATTTCCATTTTAAGATTTAAAATCATTTTTAGGCAAAAAAAAAAAAAAGAAGAAAATAATTTTTGCAGTGTCGCAAGTGCTGTTGATTACACTTGAATATTCTTTTGCATTTTCCTTACCAACAAGAGTGCGTATTGGGTTGTTTTCCTGGGTGACATCGCAGATCTGGCCCTTTAAGGTTTCCTGCAATTCAGCCGGGAGAGCTGGGAAGTTTCTTTCGGCCAGAGACTTGTTGACCTCACAGCAGATCTGAGCACTGACATTTCCAAGAGCTTCGGTGAGATTAAAATCACTGTAAGCCAAACGGAGGGGGGGGGGGACAAAGCCGACAGGCAAGATCTTTTAGATTGATATGTTCATTATTATGTTTATGTAGAAGTATGTGTGTTAGCCTGAGCAGAGTTTAGGAGAAGGACAGGGATTGGACGTACGTGCTATGCATGCCCTCCAGCAGCACTGCTGTCATCTTCTTAAGACGCTCGACAAGAGTGGGCAGGCCTGACACGGCCCCTCCTATTGAGCTGTAGACTATCAGCAGAACAGACGCGACCGCTTGATAGAGCTGAAGAGACCGCTGCATCTCCTGCAACCTCACTTCATCGGTCATCAGGGTCTGCAAGTGCAAAATTGAGAATGTTAGATCATAAAACACTCTTAAAGATGCATTTTGAATTTGATATCAAAGCTTAGTATGAGTTTAAATGTGTGTTTGTTCTCCAACCTCAGGCAACGGGCCCTTGCTCTCGTCCCAAATGAGCAGTCTGATGTAGGCTGTATTTAGCACCAACGTGGGGCCTGGTAAGGGTTTGCCGCTCTGCCCAGAATCGCTGCTCTTGTCTGATGGTGGCATGACTTGAGTGGCCTCATCAATTGAAGATTTTATCCACTCATTTGTGTGATCCAAAGCACCTGGGTTGAATTAAAAAGATGTTGAAGGTTAAGAGCCCAAGTGTGCAAAAGAGTCCAGATACTTTTGGGTGAGCTATCCCTTTAAATGAAAATTAATTTACTCATGTCGTTCCACACCTGTATGACTTTATTGCTTCTGTGGAGATATTTTGAAAAATGTTCTCAGTTTTTTTTTTTGTCCATAGAATGAACATCAGTGGTGTCCAACGTTGGACAAAAACAGTCAAAACATCTTCAAAGCATAATTTGTGCTTCACAGGAGAAAGAAAGTCAAATGGTTTTAGAATGACAAAAGGGTGATATATGATGATTTTTTTGTGAAAATGCAATTTGTCAAATAATTTTCAATGCTTTTCGTACAAATTTGTTTGTGGACTTACTGGGAGTTCTTTCCAGAATGCTCTGGAATTTGGCTCTCTCATACTCTACTGACTGCCTCTGAAGCTCTGGCCTGAGGCTCTGGATGGTAAAATTCACCATGTCCATTTTCATCAGGTCCAGCACCCGGAAGATCTCCCTGTTACCACACAAGTGATCATTTCCAAGTCAATTACTTTGCCTCAGGTGACTGTTCACATCAGTTAGTGAAGACAACACCATTACTGATTTGTGTCCCGCATCCCCCTCAATCACTGCATCTCATTCACTAATAATTGCATGGATTATTCATATTTGTATGAACAAGACAACTTCCCATGAAAAATGACCATGTCACAACATGTGCTTACACACCAAAATTGGTTCTTAATCTTGTTATAATATATTTAAGATGAAATATATATGTATAAAATGTAATTATAACATTGTTATAATAAGCAGCGTTATTATAGTAAACTAAAACTAAAATCATATAAAACCTTTTTGTTACTTGATATACACTTGACTGAAATAGAATTTTAAAAAATATATTTATTTCAGCTAGTTGCCAAGGCAACATTTCTCATATTAATTTAGTTTAACTTGATGTCCTAAAATAACAAAAACAAAAACTGAAATAAAAATACTATATATATATATATATATATATATATATATATATATATATATATATATACAAACCCCCAAAACTACTAAAAATGACAAAAACACAATCTTTAAATAAGAGTAAAATAAACCAGAAAAATTAAAACTGATTGAAAATATTAATATAACTACAATAGCATCTCAATGTTACTAAAATAACACTAGTTATAAGGCCACCCATAATATCTGAGTTTTGCATATGTATGGTTTCAGTACACTACATTTGTTCTTAAATTTAGAACAAATTTTAGTACGGAAGTAATTGGTGATTCAAGATTTGTTCATAAAAATGTACATACCTGTACACCGATTTCATGCACAAATTTGAATGAGACGCACTATTTGCATGTTATTACACCAGCCAATGGGTGCTAAAGTGAAACTGACCTATAGTTCTACAAAGCTATAAAAGAAGACACCTTAATAACATACTTGAACAGTGTCACTAAGTTGCCCGAGTTCTCCTTGAGCTTCTTGATTTCATCGTCTCGGACCGGCGCACAGAACTTGCCCATAGTATTGATGATGTAAGACACAAGGCCCTGGATATCAACCGCATTGTTGTCAGCCTGCTGGCGGATCAGGTCCATGTCCAGAACCTCCATGATCTGAGTACGCAGGCGATTGGCCCCGGGGTTAAGGAAGGACAGCAGGGTCTTTGATGACAGGAAAAAAATGATTAACAAGGCATTTGCCATCAGACTGCTTTTCATCATTGTATCAGAGTAAATGTTTAACTTACATCTTTGATCTCATCCAGAAGTTTGATGGCGTAATCGTATTCAGGAGGGTCATCATTCAGCTCAGATTCAAGACAGTCCCAGAAGGCCTTGTGCACCATATCCTTAACTTTCTTCTCCAGGCTTGAGGGAAAAAAAACAGTTTGGATTCAATTGTTATATATTTATTATATATCCATTTTATTCATTAATTATATTAATTTTGTATAGTTGTACATTTCAAAATGCAAAATTGAAAGCAAAATGCCTAAACATCGACTTTTGTATATTTTAGTTGTATATTTGTGTGTGTACATTTTCTTGATCATCACCCTTAACTTGTTCTTGACCCATGTCTATAGTTATAAACAGTTACCAAGGAAACTGAACATCAAGTGGGACCCAGATCTGGAGATGGTAATTATATAACAACAGTTTAGTGCAGAGCTGTCCAAACTCGGTCCTGGAGGGCCGGTGGCCTGCAGAGTTTAGCTCCAACTTGCCTCAACACACCTGACTGGAAGTTTCTGTGCCTAGTAAGAGCTTGATTAGCTGGTTCAGGTGTGTTTAATTAGGGTTGGAGCTAAACTCTGCAGGACACCGGCCCTCCAGGACCGAGTTTGGACAGCCCTGGTTTAGTACCTATTTTGAGGTAGATCCGGAGGCTCTAGGTGGAAGTTCCGGTTGACAACGATCTCATGAGCCAGGCTCAGATTAGAAAGGTCCCGAGCCGAGGCCATGACCTCATCAAGCGTTAGGGTTTTTGGTGGGCTGCCTGAGGACACAGTAGCAATACAGGTTAAAAGACCAATAGATTCTTCTATACAACAAAATATGTTTCGATAAGTGTTGTTACTGTTAACTAAAACTATCAAAACTGCTTTTGTTAACTGAAATAAATCTGAAAAAATATATAAATGAATGCATTTTTAAATCAATAAAATACATGTATTATAAATCCACATAAAAATGACCAAAATTTAAACTAAAATGATAACTAAAAATATCAAATTATTTATTTATTTATTAATAAATACTACAATTGTATATAAATAATACTAAAATGATAGTATATTCTAACTGAATTAAATGTTAAACTACTTTCTTTTTTGTTGCATTTGCATGTTAGTAGGACACTTACAAGAAGGAGAGTTGTGTTTGCTGGATGAATCGCTGGTGAAGCTCTGGCGAGAACAGTCCACATCGCTAGACGAGGTCAAACTGTCGCACCTTTCCGATGACTCTGTGTCACTGTTCTGGTCCTCGCTGACCACCGTAGATGTGGAGGTGGGACGTTCATCGTTCCGTGGCATTGTGAGGGGCTGGTGCAAATTATGAAAAAAAAGGTATTGAGGAGAGTCTTGTGGCTAAAATTAAGTTTTTGGGGGACAAACTTGAAGCTGATGCTTCCAGTGGAAATGGGGCAACCGCTTATATGACAATAGGATAAAGTTAGAGCTGGCACACTTTCAGTGCTGGAAAATTCAAAAAGCTTTGTTGACAAAGAAAAGTGACTTGCAAAGGCAAGGGAAAATAAATGGGTAACAAAAGGGCTCAGTGATATTCATGTGGCCCACAAAGGGACATTGTATTTTAAATGTGATTCAGATGTTAACCGGTGCTGTCTCTTGGGTAACAAATAACACCAGATAGCAGCGTGAGCTTTAAAAGCAAACCTATCGTGTTACACCCCTCTGCCTTTAAAGGCTTCACTACACACCTGTTTCCTAATGTAACAGAGTAACGGCTTGACTTTCAGGAAGTTGAGTCAGCATCAGTAACAAAAAGTCAACAATGACCTTCATTAATTAATAAAAATGCATTCAGATAGTAAGTTAGAAACTAATCCTACCTATTACTCTTAATGCTCTGACAAAAATGCTTGTTTATTTAACTATCTTGTAATTAGTATTTGTTACAATAGAAATACCAAAATTTTCTCCCGGTGTTACTGTAAAACAACAAGAATTTGAAATCGCATTGACTCTCTGCACATTCTGAGAGTTAAAGGAATAGTTAAACCTAAAATGTAAATTCTTTCATCATTTCCTCACTCTCAGGTCGTTCCAAACCTGTAGTACTTTCTTACTTCTGTGGAACACAATCTCAGTCACTATTGACTTTGATTGTGTGGAGAAAAAAATGCTCTAAAGTCTCCTTTTGCATTCCACTGAAGAAAAAATAAGTCATACTGGTTTGGAACAACATGATGGTCAGAATTTTGTTGTTGATAACTAAAACTAAAACACACACAACACATATACATATACATATATATAAAATTAAAAATATATATATATATATATATATATATATATATATATATAAAATACTTTCTTTAAATAAAGCTGAAATGAAATAAGATATAAATATCAGATGAAAAGCAGAAATGTTTGATATTGACAGACAACTAAAAAACTAAAGTAAATATACATTAAAGTTAAATAAAAATATTTAAAAAAAATGGCAAAAGCACATAGGAAAACTACTAAAACAAACTAAAATGAAAACTGACGATTTAAAAATGAGAAGTAATTCAAAATGTTAATAAACACTATAATAATATAAAATAATACTTAAAATAACAAGTTTCAGTGAATAAATTATCATTAATTTTCATTTTTGGGTGTATCATTTTTTCCCCTCTCCCTTTAAGATCAAATTTGCCCCTTAATGAAGTCACAATGTATATTTTGGTCAAATGCTCACATTTGGTTTTATTTATTCTACATTATATTTATTTAGTGTTGTTATAATTTCTAAAACAATAATGTTGACTTCACTATGCATGATAGGGCACTTCTATGAACTGTATACTTCAACTTGCTCCTGAACAGTCTCAAGTTTATAGCAATTAACACCGTTACAAATACCAGTACTTCTACCGGTATTTGGAGCCTGGTTACAAGAGAAAGACCACAAGTTCAAGCCCTTCCAATCTTGTTACTCCCAAAAGAGAGTGTCTATTTTGAGGATAGGATAAAAGCATAGACTGGTTCAATAGTTCTGGTGGTAAAAACAGAAACCCATGCACATGCACATCCTCAGTCAGGTTTAAATTAGGAGGGACCGATAACAGCACCACTGGCACTGGTTACGGCTCCTGCAGCTCTGGGCCCTAAAAGGAAGTGCTGTAAAACAGCGCGACACACACACACACACACACACACACACACACACACTGCGCTCAGCTGCTCTGCACACGTGACCTTATCTTCAGCACACAAACAAGGACAAAACACGAGCAAACTGTCAAAGCAGGAGAGCAGCCGAACTGGACTTTTCAGATCATGCAAACCCCAACCCATTTAAAGATTAGCAACGTGAAATTAGTAAACAGTCGCTTTATGATTTGGATGTGAGATAAATATTAATAAACAAGACAGTGAGCGCGCGCCTGTACATTTAATAAAGCGAACAACGCAAAGACGTTACGTGTTCGGCTTAATTTTCAACTGTTTTATAATAAATGCTTTAATCATGCATTTCATTCAGTGAGTCAATGATGTAAACATAACCAATGTCCAGCTCTTTAAACTTGCAAAGAAATATCATATATATTATCTATATAAACTATGTAACAGTTACCTGAGTCAAGTCCTCGAAAGTGAGGACTTGGCAAACAACAGTGAACAACCGAGTTTTTCCTCGATTTGCAGAATGCTACTCCTTCCTTAGTACACTAGGACTTTAAAGGGCTCTTTAAAATGTCACTTCGCTAGTGTTTTGTGAAACAGGGAGAATCTATTATTCCGCAGCTATAGGGGTGTCAATATTTTGCCTTGTATTTAAGTCAAGCTAATAAGAGAAATGAACATGTAGCTGTCAGAAAGAGATATTAAACTCGGAAAATAGGCACGAGACGGTTGTTTTATAATAAAACTACAAACAAATGTCGACAACAGGCCATGTACAGGACTAGCACGCACCCCCTAGTAACATAATGGCACAGTCCAGCTCGCATGAGCTTCTTTGTTTACGGATGTGACGTAAAAGAATATTAAAAATGCTTTGTGGACAAAGCGAGCAACTGTACAAAGTAACAAAGCATAAAACATTAGTAATTTATTGTCGAGGAATACATGTGTTCGTTTCATCCGAACGCTTTGATTCGGTTCTGATTCTGTCGATAACGTAAAGGATTTCGATCTTTCGCTTAATCCCTCCCACCGAGGATTATGATGATTTGTTATTATTCAAAAGATTTCAAATCACTTCCTGAACCTTTAGCTTGATTCTGAAATTAAAGTATAATGTCAAATTCATTTCAGGTTTTTATTAATGCTTTATGCTTTAACAAACCGTGTTCATAGAGCGTTGAGAGCTGACTGTACTCAAACAGAACCATGGTAACTAAACAAACAGACAATAAACCCTCAGTGAGTGGAGAAAATATTGTAGCTTATTTGAAAATAACAAAACAAAACAAAATAACTTGGACACTGTTTTGCTACACAATGCTAGGAAGTGGCTTTACCCACTGCAAAATAAAAACAAATACACAAATAAATATCTTTGTTCATGAAAATGCTTTAATATTACTATTTAAACAGACCAAAGGCAGTACAACTCTTAAAAAGTTCAGTAAAAAATAAATACAATTTGACCGACATAACTATTATCATTTAATTAAAACACAGAGTAAACTATTAAGTATTAAATTAAGGGAAAAAAAGCATATATACAAACACGCACCAAAGCCATGTTATTAGCACCATTTTTTACATATCCTAAAAGAGCAGGTGAAAAGTCTTGTTCCTTTGTGGTATATTTCTGGATCCCATTAATCACGAACTGAATTCACAGCCTTCACGGTCCTGTTGTTAATGAAGTCAATTTTCCTGTAACCGGCCTGCCATAGATTAAAAAAAAAAAAAAAAAAAAAAAAAGGATGACAAGAGTTAATATACATGCAATGAAAGCAAAATCTATGAATTAGTTTTTGAGCACTTTAGATCAGTAGTTCTCAACCAGGAGTCCGCAAACTTCTAAGGAAGCCACAGGATGATTTGAAATGATAAAAAAAAAGACAAAACATGCTTTAAAAATAAGCTAAACAAAAACTAAACATCAAGATTTCTTATTTTAACACACTCCCTCACCCCCTCACCCACATTATACATACTATTACTCTAATTGTTGGCCTTTTTGCTACTAAATTTTGTTCTATGCCTTCCCACAGTTAACTGCATTCATTTCTTCATTGTAAACACTCTTAATATCTTGAGTAGCTGCCCTAAACTGACTTTCATTTTTGACTATTGGTTATAATGTACTGCTTGTTTATTTATTTGTACCCCAAAATAGTAAGTAATAACACATTATTACTTCATGAATGTAGGATGCAAACATGCAGCAAAACATCTCACCTTTTTGAAACTGCTATGCAGCTCTGAATGCCTCCATAGGGTATGAAGTAAAATACAAGCCGCCTGGCCCGCCCGTGTGGGTCCAAACCTAGATTTAATTGAGAATTAAATGTACGAATTAAATAAGTCACATAAATGACTTTTATTGTGACTTTTATTATACGTCCCATAACCAAAAGTTCCTGAAAATGAAACTGTACCCGTTGTCTTTAGTGCTGATGCTGATGATCTTGGGTAACGCTCCTTGGTTTATGATGGCACAGGTGTTCAGTACAGATGCATGGCTCAGATTGATGAGAATGCGACAAATCGTCACAGTGACCTCTATAGGCTGCTCTACACTTCGGTCAGAGTTTGGCAGGATGGCAACCAGCTCTGGTAACACCTGTTTAACTGTAGAGATGTTCATAAACCATTTGTTTATTTCCTCTTCTGCCCGACACAGCCATGTGCTGTTATTGTGTATATTGTTATATAATGGCAGCTCACCAACATCTTTGTGCAACTCTCGGTAACGAGAGATGTTTTTTAGCAGTGACACAGATATTCTGATCTCTTCCTTCTCTCCTTCTTGTAGCATCTTCTTCACCTGAGATAGGCCTCCTTCTTTTTGCACGATGAAGTGTGCGATGGCTTGGGATAGCTAATGGAGATAAAAGACACTAATCTAAGCATGAATGTCATTTGAAGTCAATGCTGCTTATAGTTATTTTATTTAGATTTATTTCTAGATTATACCTCTCCAGAGCAAGCTGTGAGGTTCTGCAGTGCTCCAATGGATGCCTCCTTTGTGTGCTGGTTTGTGCTGACGGCAATGAGAGAGAGATACATGCGGACAGTGATGGCGCTCCAGAGCCACTCCAAATGGTGAGGGCTGCCGTTCTCTTCGAGTAAGGGATAGTCTGCATCTGCTTCCTGAGGCAAGACACAACATATGATGCCACATAGGAGGTCAATTTGTGTTCGACACCACTACATTTGCATTAGAGATGGCATTTTGGTCAGTCTGAATACTCAACAGGAAAAAGTCAAGCCGTACGTTTTCATCCATTACATCATCAGCGACAACATTTAATCACCCAAAAATGCTTATAATTCATCCACTCTCAAGTCATCCAAGATGTAGATAAGTTTGTTTCATCATTGGAACAGATTTGGAGAAATTTAGTATTACATCACTTGTTCACCAGTGGATCCTCTGCAGTGAATGGGTGCTGTCAGAATGAGAGTCCAAAAAGCTGATAAAAATATCACAATAATCCACAAGTAATCCACACGACTCCAGTCCATTAGTAAATGACTTGTGAAGCGAAAAGCTGCATGTTTGTGACAAACAAATCCATCATTAAGATGTTTTTGCCATTGCTTCCAGCTTCCTCTATGCATAATATTGCTTTCTCCAGTGAAAATGTCATCTTGTCTTAATCAGGAGAGAAATATGTGCAGATCAAGCACGTTTACAGGTGAAAAGAGTTCTACCCAAATAAATCGGTGTATTTTGATGTGAGCGAACAACAAGAGACAGATTCTTTCACTGGAGGAAGTGGCATTATGGATTAGGGACTCGAAGCAATGGTTTAAAGTTAAAATGCCATAATGGATTTGATTCTTACAAACATGCAGCTTTTCACTTCACAAAATGCTTATTGATGGGCTGGAGTTGTATGAATTACTTACGGATTATTGTGCTGTTTTTATCAGCTGTTTGGACTCTCATTCTGACGGCACCCATTCACTGCAGAGGATCTATTGGTGAGCAAATGATGTAATGTTGAATTTCTCCAAATCCATTGGTGATGCAATGCTAAACTTCTCCAAATCTGTTCTGATGAAGAGACAAACTCATCAGCCTCTTGGACGGCCTGAGGGTGAATACATTTCAGCAAACTCTTTGTTTAATCTACGGTGTAACACTAACCTCCTCAGTGTTTTTGGCACTATTGAGGATGAAACATCCGGGGTTGCTAGTTTCTGCATTGTGATTTTGTTTTGGCTGTTGTACCACTGGGGAATCCACACGTGGCAACTCACAATCAAACCGATAAGAAAGATTGTGCAGGATGCAGACACAGTTTTCTGTGGCCTGGAAAATAAGAATTAATAATTAAATTATTATGAATTGTTCAACAGTTGGAATAATCACTCCGGATCATATTAGATAATATAACATTACATCAAACTTAATATCTCATAGAGGCAGAGCAGCATAGTTTCTTATCACCCAATAGGTATCACTGACGTAAATGTGGATGGTCACACGCTTACTCATTCATCTGCGTCACAAAGTTCCGAGCATTCAGAATGAGTCGTTTTAAGAGCTTAGTTTGAATAAACTTTATATTCCCCACTGGAGAGGACATTCTGTGTTGTGAAAGCTATCTAAAAGTTTTCATAGTACAGGAAATCAAGCTCTTTTATCTTCAAAGATCAAGGAAAATTTGATTCCTTGTGATATGACTCCTTTAATTATTAGACATAAATGAAAGACTTACTGTTGCTGTTGATAAAGATGGGGATTTAATGTGAGTAGCTCTTTACCTTATCATCAGGTTTGTAGTCTGCAATGGTACCACGGATATAATAGATGATGCACTCAATGAGACCCTCACAGTCCCGCATGGCTTTACGTCCATCTGGACCAGCTGAACTCAAATTTCTAAAAATAAAATATATACATATTATTTAATAACACCTTTTATGTAGAAATGCAATGCAAAGTAATTATGCCCACCAAGGCTCACCAAATTTTTTAAATAAAAAAAAATACAGAAAAAACTGTAAATATTATTATAATTTAAAATAACCATGCTCTGTTTTAATATATTTTAAAATGTAATATATTACTATGATGACATAGCTGATTTTTCAGCAGCCATTACTCCAGTCTTCAGTGTCACGTGATCCTTCAGAAATCATTCTGATATGCTGATTTGGTGATTTAAAAAAAAATACTTTGTAATATTATGTTTAATGCTGTGTTTAACAACAAAATTACTTACTGTCCCCAAATGTTTGAACAGTAGTGAATATTAGAATAATGTATATGTATAACTTTGGCAGTTGTAGCACTAAGAACAGCTTGGATTGTCAAAATAAATCTGGTTAATTTAAAACCTGTTGTATCTTCTCTTTCAGTTCGTAATACCTAAGGCAGCCAGTAGCATTGTAGAAAATGTCGGGGTCAGCAAGGAGCTCCAACTTGGGGTCTTCCCCTTCCGAAATGCCTGAGCAGGGCACCAGCACATTATCTGTGAGAGGTTTGGCCGCTTCTCTAGCGAGCTGCTCTTTCAGGAGGTCATGAGAAGACAGATTCCACA